TATATATATAAATTTCATACTTTTTTACCACAAAGCACAAAATTATTGAAAAAGATTTTCTTCATTTGCTATGAAAATAAAAATGTATAGGCATGTTTATATTATGTGACAATTGTATATATATTTTGCTATGATTCAAAAATTCATAGCTACTAATTGAAAATTTTGCCTCAAATACTGTTACCCACAATAATTCATATAATGTAGGTAAGAATATATTTTTGGCATGAAATATACCTTCAACTGTAATTATTTAATAAATTAAATATTAAAAATTTAATAAATGTTCAACAATATAATTCAAAATAGTAGAAATATTATTTTACTCAAACATATCAATACGCTTTTCCAAAACAATAATAATTATTCATGTCCCGTCAATCTTGATGCTTCCATCACTACTCCACAACCTACAACAGCTCCGCTCTAAAAATTTGCACGCAAGGTGCAGAAGTGCAGTATGAGTACAACCGATCCCATGTACCCAGTAAGTATCTTTTCTAACCTCGTCGAAGTAGTGACAAAGCTTTTTAGTTAAAAGATACTCACCGATATAGCCTGTACAATAAACTAGCAATAGAACAATAATACAATGTAACATAAAAGGGTACACGAAACGAATATGCAAAGCAATAACTGAGTACTAGAAAAGATCACAATTTAACATTTTCTAATATCTCGACCAATCTTTTCCTTAGTGCAAAAACCAATAAACCACGATAGTCACTCCATAACTTTCATAACGGGAGAATTGTACTCAGATATCAAGTCAATTGCACGGCAACACCCTTCGTGCATTTATCTCATCCTCACCAAATATGCGTATAACAGTATTAATTGGATGACAGAAATGCCGATAATAGTAATGACATAGTAGGAAATACGCAAGTAGCAATAATGAACGAGGATATACATATGGGCAACAGTAATAGACTAGACGGAAGGCATAGGAGTAATGACAGCAATTAGGAAAAAGGAATATAAACTTCAACTAACTAGCATGGTGGAGTCCTAGATATAGATATAACAAATAAGAAGGGAACACATGATCTTTATAAGTTAACAAGTAGAGGCATGAATGAATAATATAGTAGCAGGCTTGTACTAAAGTGCAACAAAATAGATACGACATGGATGTAATTATACAACAGGAAGTAGGCATGGTATTTGCAAGTTAAGCAAGTAGAAGGCATGGGCAACACAACAACAGTTGAGATAGAGAAAAAGGACAGGGCAATAACGACAAGTCACATAAGAACCATAAGTACGACAATAACAGCTCAATGTAGAGGCATGAACGTATGCACGAGGAAAATATATCACAACATAATGCATGTCCCTCATCCACGCCTGCACGGGAACACACATCATGCCATGAACTCGTGATAATATAACAGCATAATGGTATAAATAAAATGGCACGGCATCACCCTTCGTGCTTTTACTCACATGACATGGAACGGCATCACCCTTCATGCTTTACTCTTAAATGGAATAGCACGGCATCACCCTTCGTGCTTTACACTCACAAGGCATGGCACGATATCACCCTTCGTGCTTTACACTCACATGACATGCCACGGCATTACCCTTCATGCTTTACTCTCAAATGGAATGGCACGACATCACCCTTTGTGCTTTACACTCTTCCTCACATGATAATATATGTAATTTGCCGGCATCACCCTTCGTTCTTTACGCTCTTCCTTACCAAGCATATGTATATCAATGACAAA